ATTAAGTGGCCTAAATTGCACAATTGCTCTTATTTGCAGATACATGGGGACAATAACAGGAATAAGTGATCTTGATCCTGTTCGTTGGATGAACTCACACTGGCGCTCTGTCAAGGTAGATCTTGAAACATCTGTTTGTTTATAGACCACTCATATGCTTTTATTACCTCATTTTTAGTCTTATCATATTTTCAGATAGTGTGCTTTAGTCATTTTCTACCTTCACTATGAGCTTGCTTCAAAATTAAGCATGTGAACAAGGTTTTCTTTGAATCATGCAGGTTGGATGGGATGAGTCGACTGCTGGAGAGAGACAGCCAAGGGTGTCTCTTTGGGAGATCGAGCCTCTGACAACTTTCCCGATGTATCCATCTCCTTTTCCTCTCAGACTAAAGCGTCCATGGCCAACAGGCTTACCTTCTTTATATGGTACGAGTGACATTAGCATCTTAGTCAGCCCTTTAAACTATAGCAGTGCACAATGATCAATGATGTCTCGTATGTATTATTAGTGCATTGCTCTGATGTTATGATAATCATATTCACCTCTGATGGTTTTGGCAGGCGGAAAGGAGGATGACTTGGCTTCTTCTCTTATGTGGCTTCGAGATAGTCAAAACACAGGTTTCCAATCTCTGAATTTTGGAGGACTTGGTATGAGTCCGTGGATGCAGCCAAGGCTGGATAGTTCCCTACTTGGTCTGCAACCTGACATGTACCAAACGATAGCGGCGGCGGCGGCTTTACAGAACACCACTAAGCAAGTATCACCTGCCATGCTGCAGTTCCAGCAGCCGCAAAACATTGTCGGTAGATCTTCTCTTCTATCCAGTCAGATTCTGCAGCAAGCACAGCCTCAATTTCAGCAGATGTACCACCAAAACATCAATGGCAACTCAATCCAAGGCCATAGTCAGCCTGAGTACCTCCAGCAACCGCTTCAACATTGCCAATCATTTAACGAACAGAAGCCTCAGTTGCAGCCGCAGCAACAGCAGCAAGAATCACACCAGCAGCAACCTCAGCATCAACAAATGCAACAACAGAAACACTTGTCCAACTTTCAGACTGTACCAAATGCATTGTCGGTTTTTTCACAGCTTTCCTCCACCCCTCAGTCTACACCCTCCACATTGCAGACAGTTTCACCATTCTCACAGCAACATAATTTCCCTGACACAAATATCAGTTGTCTCTCTCCATCCAATGTCTCATCCATGCACGATACACTGAGATCATTCCCTTCAGAAGCTGCTTCAGACCTCCCAGGTGTGCCAAGAATCACCCCTGTACCTGTCTCTGACCCATGGTCATCTAAGCGAGTTGCAGTGGAATCTACGATCACTTCTCGCCCACATGACATTTCATCACAGATAGAGAACTTCGACTTGACACCTTCTAGTATTCCTCAAAACTCCACGTTAGCACCACTGCCTGGAAGGGAATGCCTGGTGGATCAAGATGGGAGCTCTGATCCTCAAAATCACTTCTTGTTTGGTGTAAATATAGACTCACAGTCACTTTTGATGCAAGATGGCATTCCAAGCCTTCACAATGAAAACAGTTCAAGCACAATTCCATATTCCACATCCAACTTCCTTAGCCCTTCTCAAGATGATTATCCATTGAGTCAAACACTAACTACTCCGGGCTGCTTAGATGAATCAGGATATGTTCCATGTTCAGATAATGCTGATCAAGTGAAGCGACCGCATGCAACCTTTGTGAAGGTGAGTGAATGGCTTGCATGCTTGATGCACCATCAGTTGCAAAGTTGCATGTTTTTTTTTCCTTTTTCCTCAATTCACTTTGAATTGACAAACTTGTGTCCTATAGGTTTACAAATCTGGAACCGTTGGAAGGTTGCTCGACATCACTAGATTTAGCAGTTATCATGAACTTCGTAGTGAGGTAGGGCGCCTTTTTGGCCTTGAGGGCCAGTTGGAAGACCCTTTGAGATCAGGCTGGCAGCTTGTATTTGTTGACCGAGAGGACGACGTTCTTCTAGTTGGCGATGATCCGTGGCAGTAAGTTTTAACAATCATCACGAGTTCCTTAGCATCTTTCTTTACTGTTTATGCCATCTTCTTACATCCGTGAGGTTCGGAATCTGCAGGGAATTTGTGAACAGTGTGTCTTGCATAAAGATACTTTCGCCGCAGGAGGTTCAGCAGATGGGCAAGCCGGGCATTGAACTCTTCTCGACTTCTGCAAGGAGACTTGGCAACAGCTGTGACAACTACATGAGCAGGCAGGAATCAAGAAGCCTAAGCACTGGAATCGCGTCGGTGGGCTCAGTTGAGTTCTGAGAAATAGGGAGCTCATAGCACCCGGCGTTAGGCGTCCAGTTCTGTACGTCTCTGTAGCTCTTAGTTCTGTGACCTGGAACCCAAGCACATAGGTCAAGTGTAGCTCTAAGTTATGCGCTGTCTGGTAATTATGTCATATTACATTGACTTTTAGTGGTACCTATTACATTTTGGTATACATGCCGACACTTTGTTTCCTGGAATACTGATCATGTTAACTTAGGGCATCTAATTATTAGGTTCATGTTGAGTAGTGCTGTAGTGCCGCAGGCGCTAGCTTTGGCCATATTCTGTATATTGATGATGTTTTCCTCCTGCAATGTACTGTTAATGACAGCAAGTAAGGTTTTCCATGCAACTGTGAAAATTCAGTTCAAGAACTATTGAGCTTATATATGTACTACTACCAAATCAGTAGTAAGCAGCTTTGTTCTAGAAGTGTTCCAAAATTACTGACATGTTGATTAGCATTGCTGTTTTCAGTAAAAAAAAGTAGTTTTTATGTGATCCTGGAAAGCTCATAGATAGATCCATGAGGGAATTCACCTGAACCTTTATGCTTACATAATTTGGCACCAGTTCTTGGGGACAATGACAGGCAAAGAAATGGACCAGCCATCCATGTGCCTCTTCTTCAAGGTCCCCATCTGACTGAAGAACCCTTGACAAGTGCACACCCAATTGAACCAATGGTTGGAAAAAAGATAGCCTCCCTTTCTTGAAGGTCAGCGGTGGATGATGAGGTGAATGTGATGCCTTCTCTCCCCATCACATATCCATTTCTTCAGGGTCCTAATGCCTACTGGTAATGCCTATCCCTGTTCTGATCCCCCTTCGTCGACCTTCCGGTCGCGCCAACGTGTTAGAATTTGGTTTGATTTGGTTTTGGTTTTGGTTTGGTTTTTGGTGGTTGTGGATTGTGACAAATTTAAAGTGGAGGGGGGGAATGTGGAGTGCAATGACATACACCACCACCATCCACTCTTTTCAAAGATATGGGGCATCTTTTCTGAACCCAATCAATTTCTTTTCTGATTCCTCCATCTCTTTCAGATCTTTGGCTGGGACCCTAATTTGGATCCCAGATCATATCATTTCCTAATCTTGACTGACTTTTCACAACGGAAAAAAAAAAGAAGAGGAAACCTGGCAATGAAAATGGAAGGAGGTGGAGAATTGCCACACATTTTTCATGCTTGTTTTTTTCTTCACCCCTGATGTCTATGAACAATTAGCAATGTGCCAAAACTGTCAACTTCTGAACTTTCTCCCTAGCCCACTAGGCTAATAGTATGTAGGTAGCATCATCATGTGCAAGAGAATTATCTCCTGCTGTTGCATTGGTTTAAGGAGGCAGATTCTCTTACCTGCTTTCTGGCTGTGGATATTGTGTGGTTGAATAGTGTTGTCTGCTTCAGAAGCATGTGGTAGTGTGTAAGTTGGATAAGCTTGTCTGCTTGTAATGGTTCTGTCTGCTTGAGATGCATAAGCTTGCTGCTGACTCTGTCAGCAAGAATGTTTGAAGCACTGGTGGTACCATATTGATGTTGCCTTTTACTGTCAATTTTAAGCTTTTGAAGTAGGGCCTTGCTTCAGACCTCAATTTTAGAAAGAAAGTATGTAGCCATATTTTTAAGTAGTAAATCTAAAACAAAATCAGTTAATTTATGCCCCCCTTTGATTTATAGAAAAAAAAAACATCGGAAACAAATTCTTCAAGGACTTTTGAAACAAATGATTGAATCATATCCTTTTCTTTGAAATTTCTACTGAATGAATAATCCTATAGATATTTTGGAGGAAAGTTAGAAGTGCTCCAAACCCTTGGAAGATTTACTTTTGAGTTCCTCTCTTATCCGCTTTCTGTGTTTTCTTATGGTCTATTCAAAAGATTATTTATGTATTTTTTCTATGTTTTACAATCCAATTTTTTTTCAATCTTGTGGAGCCTTAGGTTGAGAAAATTTGTAGCAACACCAAAAATACCAAAAAAAAAACTATTGCTTTGTACAACTTCCTGGCATGTATCATGTGAGATTGTGAGGGCATGAACCGGAACAATTGAAATTTAATAATATATATTAAAAAAATATATTTTTAGGAGTTGAAAACTTCTGGTGAATTTGATTCATAATCCAGTTATCTAATTGAAAAAAAAAACATTTTTTTGCCCAATGATCATGTCAAACCGGTGAAAAGAACATTTTTTTTCTTCTATTTTGCACAAACTTGGACTAACTGCAAACCTGAATTCTACATTGCAACATCGATTTCATAGCCTAGTATTGCTCTTCTTCCCTCCCCGTCGATCTGCTTGGACAAGGAGAAAATTAAGAATATACTGCTCTATTTGATAAATTTCGATAAAATACCACTCTGGATCCTCGATGTCCAGCTCGGAAGGCGGTTAGGGGTTGAGAGATCTTGGATGAGTTACTTCACCTGAGCGGAGGAAGGAAGGATCACCGGAGTTCGCCGTTCCACGGAGGCGACGCCACAGCAAGACGGCTGCCGCCGGTGACTACCACGACGACATGACCCTGGGAGCCAGCCACGCCTCGTCAGGTTTCCAACTGGTTTTGACCAGTTGAATGAACCTTTACATGCCTGTTATGGCATTGGGTATCAGGATGTAGTATATGTTACAAACTTACGAAGTTGTAATGAAAATGATCATGATGTGACTGTAAATTCACAAACATCTTCACCATGTCTCGGATTTCGTCGAAGTTGGATATACAGTTCAGGGAACCTGACTGCAGAAAGAAAATTCAGAGAATTGTAGCATCTCCATCTCACAGTTTGCAGCAAAGTAAAATCGACAACGATGAGCTATATACAGTTTGTTCATGGTTGTGATACAAAGGTCGGTGTGTAGTATTTGCTTTCGCAATTTATACATTTCATAAACACACATATCACACTGGACTACTAAACTATAACCGGGAGTAAATGGAGACTGCTGGACCTTTTTGGTTCAGAGTTGAGAGACTTGAGAGCCCCCTTTTTCTGAATAATAACTTTGTTTCACGATCAACTTAGGTGGCAACCGGCCATGGCATTCTTGGAATTGCAGATTTGCGGTTTTACCAGTGGCGCCTTTATTCCATTCATTCATTAACACTTTTGATTTTGAATCTGCAGAATTCAGCAACTACACGAAGGTGAGTATTCATGATGAAAAAATATGAGCTGCTATCTTTCACTCTACTTGAAAGTTCAAACAAGACTTACTTTATCATCACCATGATACCTGCAAAACCACAGATGGATCATCTTCAGCCATGTTCTGCAGACTGTTGATCGCTTCCGCTGCCTTGCTGCCTAGCATTACTTGCAGTGTTCTCGTTTGAAGCATTGTTTCCAGATTGACCATGTCTGTGATTTCTACGTTGAGTTAACCGTTGATTCCGCAGGAGTCTCCACCTCAGGTATTCTATTAGCATTGCATTTAGACTAATAGCGATGCCGAAACCAGTGAACGATGCAAGTAGGATTGCAAGGACTGCCCCCATTTTTAACTGCATGTTTAGTAATTGTAATAAGCAATGTGCTGAAGATATTATCTAGAAAACTTATTGAGCTTACGTCAAAAAAAAAAAACTTATTGAGGGCAAAAAAAAAAAAACTTATTGAGGGCAAAAGCTCCATACCAAGTTGTAGAAAATATGAGCAAATAGGATTAGGAAAGCAAACTGGAACGTAGCGAAAGCCCATAGGTAATTATCGGTTGCTGTTTCACAGAGATAAAAAAAAAAGGTTAAATGTGGAATTGCGGTAGCTGTTCAGCAGAAATGCTGGAACATGATAATCTGAGTTTATTTACACCAAATGATCAAGTAACTACATAACATCTAATATTTGGTTTTAAAATGAGATCATGGAAAGAGCGGTAAGGAGTTATGTTTTACATTCTGTTGAAAAGCTGAAATCATATTATATAATAATTGTTTTCCCTGGTAAAGTTGTTACACAATCAAGATATATATATATATATCTAACTATGAGGGTAGGGTGGTCAATAAATAAATCTGAATTTGGAAAACAGTGAGCTTAGGTACCAAAAGGCTTTTTGGTTCCCTACACAATGTACTGAACTCATGATTTTGCAATTGCGTAGAGCCAGAGAAAAGCAAGTAGTATTTCATTACCCATTGTGGATGCGAGGATGGAAGAAAATATGCCCAGGAGACAGGAGAAAGGCAAAGAAATAGCTAGTGCACGTGACTTCATATCAGCAACCTGTTAAAAGTTCCAACAAGTGGGACAGTGGTTGGGTTAATTTGACATATACACACAAAATTCACATAATGGAAAGCTAAAAGAAGTGTAGCACAAAGTCACAAACCAAGAGTTGCTCCAAGAAACAGAAGTACGCAAGCGTGCTGACCATGACTAGAACTGGAGTCTCCTTCCAAAATCTGTCAGAAAAGGAGAATTTAGTAACAAGAAGACAAATACATTAATGTATTAATGATATTTCTCATAGTATAGACAGAAAAAAGAACAAAACAATTGTCATTCATAAAACGTGAAGAAAACAACACTCATCCAGTGTGCACATTTTATAAGGGTCAAAATATCTTCACACTAAAAAAGTGTGTTTTGAAATACCTGTGTGGATGTGCTGCTCTTTGCTGAACACCATTCCGCGGTTGTCTGTTAACAGTTCGAATCTGTATTCTCAATAAAGTCACAGGTAGATTCTGAACTTCCTGCCTGCAAACATCGCATGTCTTGTTTCCCTTGATGCTAAACCATTTTATTGCACACTCCTGGTGTGCAAGAGCAAGTTCTCCCTTGCAGCTGCACTCCAATTTAAGTGTTTCACCTCCTTCATTGAGTTCAACTAGGCAAATTCTGCAGACAGCATCTTCTTCAGGAATGTCTTCACCTCCATCTTCAGGAGCTACCAAGGATGAACGACACAAAATTCAGTGTTTCTTTCCTGCAGCTTTGCTATTTGAAGAGAACATTTTGGTTCACGCGAACTTTGATTGCGCTACAAAACGTTTTGTGCCTAATGTACTGTACACTGACATGCAAAAGAGTAAAAATCCAAGGTTAGTACCATCTACTGCTTCTTCAATGCCATCATTTGATGCAACAGTTTCAACAGGAACAGGTCGTGGGGTTGTGGGAATCACACGTATAAGGCCTGATGAAGCCGTCCTCCTCAGATCCTTACTATCATGATTTCCTGGTGCTGAGAGTGAGCGCCTAATTTGTGTTTCAACCTCATTCTTCTGCAACCATTGTGAACCACATTAATACGAGATGATCCTCGGTGAACTGGGCGCATCTCATACTTTAAGGTGTAAATGCACCAGTTTGGTTGTTTGATAATAGTCCATTTAATTTCCACTGTATACATGTACTAGAAAAAAATGCCCGTACGCTGCAACGGGTGAAGATTATTATAATCTTATTATTGTTATATGGTTTAGCTAGGATAAAATTCACTGTGGAAATTCGCTTGGATATATATATTTTTTTAGAAAATCATGAGCTGCAATTAGGAGTCTGATTTTTATCTCAAGTTAGTATGCGAGTTTTCTCAAAGAGATTTCTTATACGACTCATTTTGTTTTTCTAAAAGCAAACGAACTTAAAATCCGATTCATAAACGGATCTGTATTACCAAAAGCGAGCGAACATAAAACCGACTCAAATACGGATGACATACCAAAATACCGGCAAAAACATCTTCAATTTTTAGTAGAGATTATGTCATATTACGTCAAGTATTATTAAATCCCACAACCCTTGCCATGGAATTGTGTTATACCAAAATAGACCAGCATGCAAACAATGCAGTCCTAGTTAAATACTTACAACTGTACTTGGCAGGTTGTCTGCATGACCTTCATGAGAAGAAGGTCCTGAAGCTGCAACAGGAGTAACTGGAAGAGAGTGGGTTCGCTTCGCTGATAAGGAGTTGATGACCTTTGTGAAAGAAAATGATCTTGATGTAGTTGCCTTCACCTGCTGTCCTGATGATGATGGTGTGTCAGGAATTAGAAGAATTGTCTGGTCACCATCCTGTAATGAACTCTTTGCTTTGAAGCTCCTTTGTGGAATGATGCCCCTGATGGATGATTTTGTTCTAGTTGAATTCGGCCTTGGTGGTAAACCACTTCTTGCAGAATTTGGGCTGGGTGATATTTTGATTCTAGTTGACGTTGGCAGAGTGTCATCAAATGCCCTGTTTGGTATTTGTAATGAAAGGTTTGGCCGTCGCGAATTCTGACAAGATACACCATCACTTTTAGCATCTTCTCCCTAGTAACAATTCAATCGAACAACAATGTCAATCACTTACATTAAATAATTATATGATTGGTTTGAAGCAAATTAAAAAGAAAGAGTGGCAATGTAACAAAAGACAAGGAAACGCCAAGAATCAACCATGTACTAGGCTACTAGCCATTGCCTATTGCATCATATATTCATAGTACTAAATACTAACACGAGGAATAGATACTCATTTGGCATCACCACATCACTGCTGTTTGTTTCTTCACTCTTCTACTCCCTCTTGTCCTGTCCAGATTCGTAGTCCTAGGAAGTGTCACATCCCTCCAAAATCCCTTATATTATGAGACGGAGGGATTATCAAGCATGTGTTCACATTCAGACATGGAACAAGAAACTAAGAGGGCCTTTACTAAATTTCTGCATGAACTGCAGTGGTGCTCCTACCATGGTGCAAAGAAGAGATCTTTTTAGATAATGGAAGCTTTTATTTCGAGATAGGTGCAAGTAAGAGTAGGACAAACGCCTGTCTGGATAGTTTATCAGAAATCTTCAAGTATGAACAGAGACGAGTGCACTCTCCAAGACTAATAGTGAGTGCGTATACTGCCTTTCTTAATTCTCAAATAGGAGTAGTTTGGTTTATTCTGTGTGACTGACAGTCACAGCATTCAGCACTAGGTCCTAATTTGAGCCTTTCTGGGTTAATCTTTGAGGACAGAAAAAAACTAATATTGAATTCAGTAGCTAATATGGCCATGCAAACGTCTTTACAAATTACAATACGCTTTGTTATGAAGGTTTCAGTGAAACAGTTTGATCAGAATATCAGTGACAGTTATTCAGTCAAGCAACTGGAATTAAACAGCAGTATCATGTTAACAACGCCTGCTCAAACCGCTAAAGCAAAGCAAAATCGAAAGAGTAAAACACTAAAAGAGTAAATAAACTATGTATGTCTAGCTCGCATGTGTATGGCAACAACAAACAACAGATGGCGAAGAATCCACAAGATTCCCCACCAAAACAGCCAAAAACGACAACCCAATTCCAAAACAGAACACCCCCAGAGATCCAAATCTTTCTAACGAAATACAGACACTATACTAGCTCCCATGACCTATTGGAAACATCCAAGCCTGAAGCTGACAAAGAATCCCACACAGCAAGCTAAAGAAGAACAAAAAAATATCAAGAATTGGATCCCCGGGGTGCAGAATCTCACCGCGCGATTGCTGGACTCCGCCGCCGCCGCCGCCGCCGCCGCACCACCGGGGCTATCCATCCGCGGCTCAACTAGCTCGGCGACGGCGAGAGCGAGAGACAGAGAGAGAGAGTAGGTGGCGTCGCTGCTGTGTGGAGTCGAAGTCAAGGGAGGTGGACTCGCGACGGGGGGCGGTGCCCAGTTGAGGGGCTCGAGGATGAATGATGACGTCCGCTTTTGCAGTTTGCTCCACCACTTTTCTGGTATTTTTTTCTTGACCTCGTACTCTCAACACTTTGTCCTTGCTAATTTTTACTGCCTGCCTCCGTCTCATACTATACTCCCTCACAATATGTAACAACCTAAGATGGATCGACTACGAATCTGAACATAGGGTCTAATTTCATCATGGGTTGCTACATATCTGGATGGAAGGAGTAGCAATCTTGGGTTATACATGACTCTTGAGTATGTGACTCAACCTAGTATTATGAATCTGAGCAAGCTTCATGTCTAAATCCGTACTTCCTCCGTTTCATATTATAAGACTTTTTAGCATTGCTCATATCTATTGTATTATTAAAGGAATAGAAAAAGAAGCCTCCATGTTCGCTCTCATGGTCTAGAAATTCTCACATTAATCGGAGAAAAGAAAAGACAGAGTCCATATAGAAATACAATTTAGAAATAGTTGAAATTCGGAATTAAAAATAAGAAATATTAGAATAGGAGACTAGAGTCCATATAGAAATGCAATTAGGAAATAACTGAAATCCGGAATTAAAAATAAGGAATATTAGAAGTAGAGTATAGAGTCCATATAGAAATACAATTAGCAAATAACTGAAATTCGGAATTAAAAATAAGGAATATTAGAAGTAGAGTATGGAGTCCATATAAAAATACAATTAGGAAATAATAGAAATTTGAAATTTAAAATAAGGAATATTAGAGGTAGAGTATAGAGTATATATAGAAATACAATTAAGAAAAAAAAGAAATTCGGAATTAAAAAAATAAGGAATATTAGAAGTAGAGTATAGAGTCCATATAGGAATTTATAACTAACTAAAATTTAGAATAAACATAATAAATTTATTAAAGTCAATATAGGAATACAATTTAGAAGTAACTGAAATTCGAAATTAAAAATTAAAAAATATTAAAAGATGAGTTTAGAGTCCACATATAAATACAATTAGAAATAATAAAAATTCAGAAATAAAAATAAATAATAGAAGAGCATATAGTCTATATAAAAATACAATTTACAAAAAATTTAGAATTAGAAAAAAAGAAATATTAAAAGATGAGTCTAGAGTCCATATAGAAATATATATAATTTACAAATAACTAAAAATTGATATTAAAAATAATTAATAACTAACACGTATATAAAATACAATATGAATATTACACATTAGTAGTTTTGTAAAGTTATTGCGAAATTTAAAATTATGTTGTCATTTTAATATATTTGAATAATATAATGAGAAAACATATATGCTATTATATGAGAGAAAATATAATGATGCTAGCCGCGCAATTTGCGCGGGCCACCATGCTAGTTCATATATATGTTAATGAATCTAGACATATATGTGTGTCTAGATTCATTAACATCTATATAAATGTAGGCAATGCTGGAAAGTCTTATAACCTGAAACGGAGATAGTAGAATAGATTGAGTCTCATCTGATAATAGGCTGCTATATTTTGGATGGAGGGAGTAAGCAAAATATCATATTTAAACGTGATGAAGTGAGGATTAAATAATGGCATGTAAAACGAGAAAGTAACTAATGTATGATTTAATTAAGTTAATAACTATAAATTCCAAAAATAGACTTATTTGATATTTTAGAGTAACTTTTACATAAAAAAATTCCGTTCGTATCATTTAGTCCTTTCTTTAGATCGAAACAAGGCTATGATCGCTGAAAATTTGTTACTACTCTCTCCATTTTAAAGTTATAAGACATTATGACTTTGGTCAAAGTCAAACTACTTCAAGTTTGACTAAGCCTATAGACAAATATAGTAATATTTATAATATCAAATTAGTTTCATTAAATCAATAATTGAATATATTTTCATAATAAATTTGTCTTGGGTTAAAAATGTTTTTATTTTTTTCTTCAAACTTAGTCAAACTTAAAGTAGTTTAACTTTGACTAAAATCAAAATGTCTTATGACCTAATACGGATGGAGTACTAGTGTACACTCCTACTCCCTCCGTCTCATAAAAAAACTAACTCAGTACTAGATGTGACACATCCTAATACTATGAATCCGAACATATATCTATCCAGATTCATCGTATTAGAATGTGTCACATCCAGTCCTATATTAAATTTTTTTTTTGGACGGAGAGAGTAAGCAGCAAGCTGCCCCGACGAGCTTTGAATCTTTTTCATTTTTCTGACCAATTTAACAGACAGATGCATCGGAACATCTGGTATTTGTCTAAAATGCTTGTTATCAAAACAGAGAAAAACATAATTGGTGTAACAGAAACATGAGCAAATATGCAAGCAAACTTAATGGAATAGGGGCATAGCTTCCTTTGAAAAAAGAAAAAAAAACAAAATCACACACACTAAAAAGAAGAGGTAAGATTATAATTACGACTCAAAGCTAGGGTATAAACATAACGGTCACTTGTTTGAATGGTACGAGGAACTTAAATATAAATTTGTCCCATTGGAATATTCAATATTGGATCATTTGCAAGCTGGCTGATCGGCTAATGAAAATCAGAAATAATCAATTGAAGATTATCACAAGGTGTTTACTGAAAATTGCAGCTTGTTCCAAAATCCAAATGTCCACCAGCTGCAGAGCGAGCACACTGAACTGGAAGTGCAGGCTTATTGTGCAGTAACCAAAAGCTGTCTCATGAGTGGAGGATTAGTCCCCGAGCACTCTGAGATTAGCATTTTTAGTTGGCCAAATCATTAGCCGTTCGTTCCCGCGGGCCCCACCCGTCGGTGACTGCACAGTGCTGGCTCACCGTAGACCGTGTCCAAATGGCTGGACAGCAACAAGGCGATAGTTGGGACAGGTGAGATCGCATGCTTTTTACAAGTACGCTACCATACCACGTCCGTTCTAAAATATAACAAATTTTAAACGGATATGACATTAATTTTAATACTATAAATCTGAACGGATCTTTGTTTTCATCTATTAAAAAATTGCTATATTTTAGAACGAATAGAGTACCTTTTGTTCTGTTCATACTTTCATTTTAAATTTGAAATTAGAGCTTTTCTGATTTGTTCATACTATAGAGAGTAATTTAGGTGCCTCCTCCAACCAAAAGTCCAGTCCATGAGTAATTGAGTATTGCAAATTGCCCTATATGAAATATAGTATCCATCATAACCTATTGCAGTTTGATTGCTAGTAGTCTTTATTATGTTATCCTAACTCAAAAGAACACGTTTTAAATCGCACTTCTTTTCCAAGACGACCGGCCTACTACCTTCGCATTTAAATACTTAACACTACAAACTTTATTCAGTGTGCAACTATGACCGTCATTTTTCTTTTAGAAAAAAAATATCTAACAAAATTATAAGCTGTAAAAATAGTTGAAGAGCTAGTAGCTTTAAAATTTTAACCAAATAAATCACGATAGCATATACTTAAATATACTAGCTGAATTGCAATTCTCACTTTTCAACTATGTGAAAAAGAAAAGAATATTTTTTTAACTGTTTTGCGGTTAGCATGACAAACCAACATTATATCGACACTACAATCAACTACATGTACTCCCTCCGAACTGATAATATTGTTTTATAATATTGTTTTAGATTAGGACGAGGTTAAACTTTAGAATCTTTGATTATAAATTATTTTTAAAATATTTGTTGTTTATACATTGTGATTACTACATATATAAATTAGTCTTAAAAAGTACTTATAATGAAAAATAATGGTGGTTGTTTTTTTAGATCATACCATTGTCCAAAACGATAAGTTTTATCGAAGGGAGTATATACGTGCACGTCTACCGTGTAATTATTCAGGAAGATAAAAAACAAACATGTCACGGTACCAATCACAAATCAATCAACACGAGTGCCAGCAGTTTCACGCAAGTGCTAATCGAGCTCGACGATCCTGCAAATGGACCAACCAAGCCACCAAAGCCAAAGCCATCGTAACACTGACCTGGCGAGCGATCGAGTCAATCGACTCGTTTTCAACTTGGACCCGACCCACAACCACCACCACATGCCACAATGCGCGATCGCGTCCCGAGTCCGACCCGCCGAGCCGCCGCCGCCGCGTCGAGCCCGAGCCGCGCCACGCGTCCGTCTCTCTGACAGGTGGGCCCCACGCGGCCAACGCGGCCACCACGTGGTCAACGGTTTGACCGGCCAGCCTATCCTCCTGCTCCTCTTCTTCTTGTTCTTCTTCTTCTTCTTGCTCCCGTTTCCCGATTCCCACTGCGGAGAAGTCAAATACGGCCACCTGGTTCGCTACAACCCAAGCCCACCGCCGCTGCGAAGCTGCCATTCGCCGACGAACAGCTCGCCGGAGAGGCTGCTTTCCCGGAGCTTTGAGCTTCTTGGACTAGCTCTGCTCGGATTCTTGCTTGGTTGGGATTATCAGGTGAGTCGTCTTCTTGGTTGATTTCTCTGGATTCTGCGGATACAAAGGTTGGGGATTGTCTTTTCGTTGAGTATGGAATTAGGGATTGCTTGTTCGTTGATAGTAGTAGTAGTAGACTGCTTCCCGGTGTTGATTGGTTAAAGATTTGGGAATGATTCGTGAGATAGATGAGAGCCCCGAATTCGATGGGGGGCTAAATTGAGTTCTTTTCTTAGGTTGTCTTTCAATTTTACATGCTCATGAATGGATCTTCGATTTTGTACCTTGTCGTGTGTGATCGCCAATCTGTATGGAAATCAGTTTACATATTCTGATTTTTTTTTTTGGGTGAGTGGAGAATGTGCTAGGATTAGGATGTCAACAACAATGGTGGGATGGAACTTTCGTTTTCGCTTTGGAGACCAGGCCTAATCATGCATTACTTTATTGTATGTTGCGTGTGGGATGCAGTAGGTCTAATCATAGATTGTTTCTATCACTAGCAGAGTTAGTTAGACTAGAAAATCTTTTTTTTTTCCATTTTCTTGAAATTAGTTGGTCCTGTTGACGAGCAATTGATCGGATGGTGCCTGCCCAATGATAGCGTTTCTGTGGGTAGAAATTATGAAATGTAGATAAATTCTAGAAATATAGAGCAATCCGTACTGCTGCTGGCTGGCTCTAATAGTCTAATACTATGTTAGTTCATCTCACCTGCTTCCTGCTTGCATTCCCCGAGCTTTAAACATGTTACTCCCACTTTAAGTTGTATAACTAGATCATCTTTACTGATGTTGGTTGAGCTGTAACCAATCAATGGCCTATTTTGGCTGCTTATTGTAATTTTTTTATCACGAAACCCACATAACTGCTGCATCTAGTAAAACAGTTGAAGCAAGGTCAGTCTGACATCGAGCCGTCGTGGTAGGCCTAAGATTCTTGTGGTTTAGCTGTAATTCTGGACCTTATGGACAAATGAAAAGGCTGCATTCATTCTGTGCCACCATGACAATTTGCAGCACTCCTGGAATGTAACATTTCTGTATAATGTTAATCATGAACTTAATGTTTGAAATGGTAAGTGGCTAAGTGCTCAATATACCTTTCTTCTTAGCTAACCATTACCTGCATTCTTTCTTTTCAGGACATGATGGCAGCTGTTGAAAATTGATGACATGCTTATGTGGATATTCACAAGTGAAACTGTATTTGTTGAACTGCAGAATTAAGGCCATCATAGTAGTTTTAGATTTCGGTAATGGGTTGTTTTTGTATATTTGGCAAGAGAAGGGCAACCCGACAGCAAAGTTCTCAGCATAATGATGGTAGAGATCTCTAAAACAGACTGCATTATACCCTATTTGTTGAACATGATTTGTCCATATTCATCCTTGATATGTTTCTTGCTGAAATATTTAACATGATTTGTACAGACCCCTCTGGTGATATGAATATAACAAAATTCACTTACAAGGAGCTTTCAAGGGTTACTGAAAATTTTAGCCCGTCTAATAAGATTGGTGAGGGAGGTTTTGGATCTGTGTATAAGGTAATATAAGTAGCCTTCAAAGTTCAAACAAATAAGTGAAGAAAAATTCCAAAAAAAAATGAATTCTCACGTGTTCATCATGATGGATTAATGGTGCAGGGAAAGCTAAGGAATGGAAAGCTTGTTGCCGTCAAGGTGCTATCTTTAGAGTCAAGACAGGGAGCGAAGGAATTTCTGAACGAACTCATGGCAATTTCAAACGTATCTCATGAAAATCTTGTCAAGCTTTATGGCTATTGTGTGGAAGGAAACCAAAGAATCCTTGTCTACAATTATCTTGAAAATAATAGCCTTGCACAAACACTTTTGGGTATGGTTACTTGAATCGTTTCTATTGCTTTATCCTCTCAAATTTTTACATACAGTGCTAAGAAAAGGCCTAGATATTCAAACAGTTTCCTTTGTTTTTCCTCTTTTGTTTTTTCAGGTTATGGCCACAGCAACATCCAGTTCAACTGGGCAACTCGAGTAAATATTTGTGTTGGCATCGCCCGTGGACTAACATACCTCCATGAAGTTGTAAATCCCCACATTGTTCACCGGGATATCAAAGCAAGCAATATACTTCTAGATAAAGATCTTACGCCGAAAATATCTGATTTTGGTTTAGCAAAGCTTTTGCCTCCAGATGCATCACATGTTAGCACAAGGGTTGCTGGAACATTGTAAGTAAACTTTGTCATAAGTTCTTTTTATAATGAGTTAACAAGTACGATGCATTTTTCAAGTACCTTATCTTTTTCTTGGGTATCTATGGTAGTGCCTATAGCATTCCTTTCAGTTTAAATGGTTGACCCATATGACAGTACACCCCGACAATTTCTTTTACATTTTATGAAATGATTGTCAGTGGAAAAGCTAAGGCAATTAAAATTGCAAATATCAAATGATTATTTAGTAATTTATGGATTATATTTATGACCCATCAAATATCAATACACCTGCAGCTTTACTTACTCAGTTTTACATGACAGAGGTTACTTGGCTCCAGAGTATGCCATTCGAGGACAAGTGACACGGAAGTCAGATGTTTATAGTTTTGGTGTTCTGTTACTAGAAATAGTTAGTGGGAGATCCAACACCAATACAAGATTACCCTATGAAGATCAGATACTTCTTGAAAGGGTAAGATAAAATACAATACTTTTTTTTGTTGTTCCTTGTATATCAGAAGTTACTATCTTTTTTTACCATCATCACTAAATTATTTATTTAGGCTGAAGTTATATCTAATATGAGTGTTGTATTTGTTCCATGAACTAATGTTGGTGCCTTCAAGTGGAAGTCTTGGTTTCCCATAAGAGGACTAATGGAGATACATGCAGTTATTGCTTTTAGAATCTTAGCCATGACATTTCAAGTTTTCAGCTATTATATTTGTAAAATCATATTCTGGTTTTAATAGTTAACACTCTTGATCACCGCATAATTTACTAGGTGATTATTTGTGCTTTTTATAGAATGTGATCAAATTTCACTTGACAGCCTAGTCCTCTCAGTAGCTGTGCAGGGCACATTAGCAATGCCTTAGTTTTATGGGTACTGCTGAATGTGCTGGTTAAGATAATTATTTACATGGGCACAATGGAAATTACATATTGGGAGTCGCAAACATGAAAGCATTCGTGAACAAAAGTTTGGTAAAAGTCAAATCATTAAAAAATAGAGGGAGTAAAATTGTCATAATGAAATGCGAGTTGCATGCTGCCAAACACATCAGTTGCCAACTTTTTCTTCTACATGAAAGCATCATCATCATGATGTAAAAGTTATTCGTGTCTCAGCTAGGGAGCAAATGTTCTGAATTGGGGCTTTTGTTCTTTTACTGCTACAGTTCCCAGAGATCACAAATGGGGTTCTCCTCTTGCAGACATGGGTGCACTATGAAGAGGGTGATTTGGAGAAAATCATAGACGCTTCTTTGGGTGATGACTTGGATGTTGCACAAGCCTGTATGTTCCTGAAAATTGGGCTTTTGTGTACACAAGATGTCACGAAACATCGACCCACAATGTCGATGGTTGTCCGCATGCTAACAGGTGAAATGGATGTTGAGCTGGCGAAGATCAGCAAGCCCGCAATAATCAGTGACTTTATGGATCTTAAGGTCAGGAGCATGAGGAAAGAAGTGGACATAGTTTCATCCTCAACATCCACATTGCTATCTTCCATCATGGCACACTCTTCTCCTTTGTTGTCGCAAGAGACAACAGAAGCCTCCATGACATTCACCGCGATATCAGATCGTGAGTGACCCGAGGTTGAATGCAGATACGAAGATTGCATCGACAAAAGGTAGTGTAGGAGAAATGTTTTCCAGAAATCTTTTTGCTGGTTTGATTTTTTTTTCGATGTATAGATTTACTTCATTTATAGCCTGAAAAGCAGTCTAGAGTGAAGAAAGTACATGATAGTATATCTTGTTTGTTCATGGAATGTCTCCTGTTTTTGAATGTGCAATGGACACTTCTTCAGTTCTTAATTGTACACGACACCTTGTCTGCTGCTTGTGTTCTGAGATAAATTGCCAAAAAGAAACCTGTCTACACGAACAATGTTTTTTCCACTTTCAACTTGTAAAATGACAGATCATATTATTGTCTTCCATGATGATCATCTATCCCTGTAACGCGTGATGTTGTGAAGAATCTCTTGCTCTGCTTCCTGCACACTGAAAACTGTAAACTGATTTCAGATTCACTGGGATCTGGATAGTTCAGATACTGTTCATCACCAATATGCAAGTGCAGCCACTGCCATGCTGTCTGCAGGAAAAAAAAAGTCATAATGCAAAGCTCTGTTGTGCAAGAGGGGACCCAGGTGTTTCTCCCAATCACTGGGGACATTCTTGACTTTGGCTGCAGATCAGCATATAATGGCAGTGTCCTACTTACTCTCAGCACTCACCATCAGCATCACTGTAGCTTAACCTTTCCTGCTTTGTGGCCACATAGGCACAGTGACACAGCTCCTGAATGCATTCTTGTATGTTTGTACTAACTACAGCTAGTGAAGTGGTCCATGAATGCATGCAAATGCAAGCATGCAACAATGGCTGGTCCATCAGAGACCAACACATGAGTGAGCTGGAGGTCATCACCAACTAATTGTACAACAGTGTAGATTGGTTGTTCAATGTGAAGCACAATATTATTTTCAGGAAAAGAGTTATATAGAAAATAAAATATATATTGCCCTTCAGCAGACAAAATGGTCTAGATGGGGTTCAATAATCAATATGAAACTTTGATTAATAAAAGGGGTCAAGCTTCGGCTCCCATCGGATGGCCTATTCAGCCAAAGAAAAAGCAAAAATTTGAATTTTCAAACTTAATTTTGACATTGATTTTGAGATATTTTCAACGTAGTTTTTTTTCAGCATTGGCTTTTAAGTCACCGAAAACACATATATAAAAGTTTTATCTACGAAATTCATTTGTATTCTCTAATAAGCCGTTTTGGCTTATTACGAAAAAAGCCAAACGATGAGGCCTGAAATGCACTACAAAATTGATTTACTTTGTCTGATTCAATGAGAATTACTAAACAAACTGTGAATATCTTGTACAACGTTCTTCATGTTTAGCACACGTGCAAACTGCAGTACAAGTACCTGACTAGAAAATACTAGCATCTGAGAAAAAAAGGGTAGAAAGAAAATAGCATCCAGTCAAGTCTAAGGAGCTTCGCCGTTGACAAGGATAACTTGTTAATCGATACTGACAATTGACCAATTCGAGATAAGCATGTAATATATCCAACAAAAATCAATGGTTGCGTGCCTAACGAACAGAAATCGGAGATGTAACATATTTTTATTATCTAAAAAATTCAACCAATTTAGAAGGAAATTAATTACAGAAGAACTGAATGCCAGCTGCTAGTTTATATGCATCCAGCTCATGAGGACTGCATTCATGTTAATTATGACGGTATTATTCAGCAGAAATTAATTAATAGCAGCAGGAGTTTTGGTTCATACTGAAGTGAAAGAATTATTGTCTAGCTAGCTAGTTCTACAAACAACATTTTTTCAATCAGAGAATCATAAGAATTTTGTATTGATCAGTACAATGACAAATTAACTAATCACAACCGTAGAGAGGCGTATAGTAGTACATCATTACACTCATTTCTTCAAAAAAAAAATCATTACACTTACACCCAGAAAGCACACAAATGAAAGAGTTTGTAGAAAGTTTACGGTCTGTCTTAGAAATATTTTAGCAAAATCCGATACTGTTCAACAATTTGGGATGCAGCTGATCAATTTACTAGGCATTGCTCAACTAGACAAGAATGAGCATATGATGATAATCACACAATTAATGGATTCTGTCCCCAAAAGTGATGTACCCGTATATACGAAGTACATTGTTCTAAAACAAGAAATTAAAATAATCGGAACGAACAAACGTCAGGCCCTAAATTTCTTTGTCAAGAAAATATTGACCAGATGAGAGCCTTGCTTGTGCAACTAGCTAGCTGTATAGCTTGATCATAATTTGTAGCAGAACTGCACAAATTAAATTAAAACCTAAAATAATACATCTTAATTATATAGTTTCAGCTGCCTAAAGGAAGAAACCTCTATGCATCATGGTTGCATACTTGCATTAATTCAAGCATTAATTTAGGCAGAACAAATATATAGCGAGCCGTTTGTGATGAGGAATATATCAGTAAACACACTGCACTGTTGTGAAAAGGCATATAGCTTAGTGATTACAGTGACCTAAGTAGTATTTTAAGGTCCTAGGTTTAAATCTCCATAGAAGCGAATTTCAGATTATATTATTTAAGGGCTAAGTTAAAAATGTTGCATATATTCAGTTGGATGTAGAGGCCGGGTAAAAAAATACCCTTCTCTAAGAAAAAGCAAGCACACAGCTGGATCAAATCAAATATGTGGAATATATAGCAAGATTCCTCAACAGATACATCCAAGCAAATGAATAATTGATTAAAAATTAACAGGACAAATTACTTGTCTACATAACATCATGCATGGTTGCCTTCAACTTTCATTATTACATGGAACATCTATTTAGCTAGCCGGAATAAATGTATAAGTTAAGCCGTTTCAATGAAATTAACAGAAGTCAGGAAATGTTCTTCAGAATTATAGCATCAGTAATCATGCCATATATAAAACCCAGAACAAAAACATGCATAACCATTACTTAAAAAATAAACATTCAAATATTATATATAACCTCGCTCACAAGTATTCCAAAATAATCAAACTTGGTCAGTGAGGAATGAAGATGAAACACATCCTTCTTGCACCTGCAATTAATTAGAACCACACCAAATTAAGATCAAAGATGTAAAGGCACGAAAAACTTACACATGAACACATACATACACAAATATATGTATACTACATCAAATGACACTTAAAAAAGAAGCTGGAATTAATGGATATGTCAAGCAACCATATGCAGGCAGGCATGCATGCTTGGCTCCTTGCACGCCACCCAGTAGGCAACCAGACACCATGGGTTGGTCTACATGTGTGGCATACAGGGAGCCAGGCACACACTACACAGCTTCTGAACAAACCTCTAAACCTCATCATCTCATCCAGTGTAAATAAACACACATGCAAACATCACAGTGCAAGATAGTAATAACCAAGAGAACAGAAAGGGAGATATAGGTACAACACATGTTTCTCTCTTTCCTTCCATATGCTCCATGTAGATAAATATAGTGAACTAGTGATGACTTAACCAGATATTGATGCATACACAAGCTAGCTAGCTACTAGGCATATACACACAGTTGAAGCAAAGGACAAGAAGGCTACTAGAGAGATAGAGATACATATATACAGCTATATGTAAATGTTCAGGGAGTAGAAGTGAAGAACAGTGCAAAGGTGTGAAGGATTGAGGTAGAAGAAAGGAGGTGAAGGTGGATTTATAGATGGAGCAAGCAAGACCAGGGAAGATACAACAACTCCTCTCCATGGCTGCTAGCTCAGCAGCTTATACTTGCTCTACCTCCTCCTACTAGCTGTTTGGCATAAAGTGAAAGCAAGTGCAAAGGGACATGGAGCACAAGACACTAGGATACTTCCCAAGGGGGTTAAAGGATGAAGCTTTTGATGCCATGCCACACTACACATAGCTAAGCTAGCTCAGCAGTACTAGCAGCCCTACACACTGCAATTTTACTATACTATATACTCCACTGTCTTTCCAAAAAAAAGTTTCACACTTTCAATAAAACATACTCCCTCTATTTTTAATATATGCCGTAGTTAACTTTTTGAGATATATTTGGCCATTTGTCTTATTCTAAAAAATATGTAATTATCATTTATTTTATTGTGACTTGATTTATCATCAAATGTTCTTTAATCACGACTTAATTTTTTTGTATATTCACATTTATCAAAAAGTCAATGGCGTCATATATCAAGAAAACGGAGGTAATACCACATTATATAGTAGCACCACCCCTGGCAACCAATGGCATATTGACATGCGAAAGAATTTCTTAATTAAGCTCCAGTTCTCTCTATATATAGCTAATGGCTATATCTATCCATCTATATTGGGCTATATATATATATAGCTCATGCATCTCTATATAATCTTTTTCTTATCTCGATATATCGTGCTTGGCCGGTGAATGATGACGATGAGAGAGCTAGCTAGTATGCACTACTTACTCGTGTTAGCTAGGCTATAGCTAGCTTTGATGAGTTAATTAGCAGCTATGAGCTAATAATTAATTAAGCATCCAGCTGCTACGCTGGTATAGGGCACTGTTGATCAGCCATGGCTATGGCGATCGATGGCGACTACATGGAGCAAAAAGAAAACGAATTAGCCTTGCACGCATGCGTGCACCTTCAATTCCTCCCATACACAACAAACTCAGAGTCACAGAGAAGAGAGAAAAAAGAGAGAGAGAGATGGTGAAGACTACTGTAAAAGTTGATGGCTCTGACCTGCAGTGAAGTGGATTTTGTCTGAAGCACTTGGCCGAGCTCCAGATTCTTTTATACCAAACCTCACCATGCATATATACTATACGCCCCTCTTTTCGTTTATGCTTATACTTATCAGCCAAAATTTAAATTTTTAACATTAAATTTAGAGTTTTTTCATCGAAGTTTATTTTTCAGCCTTTACTTTTGAATCGCTAAGAACACGTATATAAAAATTTTATTCACAAATTATTTTTCGTTTACAAGTATGCCGGTTTGGCTTATACCAGTCAGTCTCAGGCATAAGATCCATGTCTCCCTAGCTGCAGGGTGCAGCTATATCTGCAATGTATATGTTTATGACTGCCATGAGCGGCTGACTGGTGGGTCCGGGTTATGTATAGCACCCCACTGTCAGAGAGAGGTGAGTGACTACATATGTGTTGTCTGAGTGATGTATTATAGTTATAAAAAAAGGAAAAGAATGATGTATTATGATGATCTAGCTAGGGCTGTAGTCTGTAGATAGCTCCCCAAAGCGATGTACCATGAGCAATTGGTAGGTACGGAGTACAACACTGTTGATGATCATGGCTTTGGACCATGCATGTGTTCATGTTACTGTTCACTCCAGCTTAATTAGGGGCTGTTTAGATACAAGAGTATAAAGTTTTGGCATGTCACATTGGGTATTATATAGGGTGTCGCATGGGGTGTTCGCGCACTAATAAAAAAACTAATTACAGAATCCGTTAGTAAACCGCGAGACAAATTTATTAATAAGCCTAATTAATCCGTCATTAGCAAATGTTTACCGTAGCACCGCATTGTCAGATTATGGAGCAATTAGACTTAAAAGATTCGTCTCGCAAATTAATCGCAATCTGTGCAATTAATTATTTTTTAGCATATATTTAATACTTCATGCAGACGTTCAAACGTTCGATGTGACAGGTTGAAAATTTTTAGAGTGGGATCTAAACATGGCCTTATACATGTTCCTTTTGTTCTCGAATAATTGACATTAACACTATTTAAGTTTAAACTTTGACAGTTTTTTTTCTTTCCTTAGAAAATTGATAGTGAATACTTAAAAATGTATTATATATCATTCGAGTACTATATGTGGCATCCTAAATATAATGTTACAGTCTTCATTCGTCATAATATAATCATTAATTTCAAAGTAATTTATAGTTCAAGTGAGACGGATTCAAGAATGGAAGTACTACTATAGTGTTGTACACACTGACACTGACACTGGCTAGCTTCTTGTTGAATGGCATGAACTGTTCCATCGCGTACGTCTATTAATTAATTAATCTGTCTATATACTGTTAATCTCGAGGGGTTTGAGACTTCAAAATTAACCTGCAGGAAGAGCGGCCAAAGCACCCACTTTACAGATCACATATGACCACCATTTACCAGAAAACATTGTTAAACAATTGATTAGTTTATCAGACAGCTATCAACAAAGATACAAAATCTTTCTTTCACTATAAGCATGCCCAACATCTTTGACCTAACACTAGGTCCTGTCTGCTCAAAATACCATCACATGCATGCATCATGACCATTTTTAATAATTATAAGTCACTCATGCAGTAGTCATTCTACCTAATAAACCATTTGCAACTAATGCCCAGTTCTTGCCTAGCTAGCTTCTTGCAGGTCTCATCAGTCACCACTCATATTCTTTTGACTGGTAGAACCCAGATATATAAGTCCAATGTTCAAAAATTGCCAGCTGATCATCAAGGCTTGCATTTTTATTTTTTTCATTTTTGAAACTTGATCAAAGCTTTGCATTGGATGGGAAGAAAAGAATTAGTAATAGAGTCATGCATGTACACCTGCCAATGCAAAAGCTAGCTAGCTACCACCAAGATGTAAATAACTGGGACAATATTATATACTGCAAAAAGCTAACTACACGCACGCACGCATGAAAAGATGCATCGGTCGTATATATTGTGGACTTGTGGTGGGTTGGTTGATGGTCATGGAGGCAAACCCTTGCAGATGGCTTGTAGCAATTGGTGCCTTCTTTCCATGACCATGTGGAATATATTTTTATCCTATATCTTCTCTTTTTTATGTCACCTAAATAGTTATAAAGAAATTAATAGGGTAGATTAATATACTTTTATATATCACTTTACAAACATGAAAATTAAGCTTCTAAAGTTATAACAGAAAATTCTAACCTCTATGAGTAGTTCAAATTGATCTAATAATTGTGTTATTCTAGAGGTTTTTCATGTATATCTTGGTCAATGATCCCAAACTTATGACATAATTAATTGCAAGAGGAAAAAATCATATATGATCAGTTGATTCATAAGACTTTTGTTGCCACCTACAAAATATTGACAGGCAGCCAATAGTCTTTCTAGCTAGCTGTATATTCAGACTATATACATGAACAATTTTGTAGAGGCAAAACGAAAAGCCCCAAATCTTTCTTTTCAAACGAAGATATATAAAAGCTAGCTATAGGACAGTACTGAATCTCTCTGCCTTGTTCATTCCATGCTTTTTGTAGGACGTACAACCGCCCACCACCGTTCGTTGAAAGGGCTGGCCGGCCCCGGCAGCATGCAGCTAGCACGATTCCCATTCTGATTGTCTAATCTAACTACCACATATGCATGATTAGAACTTGAACCCGAGCGGACAGGATTAAAAAAAAACCCATATCCAGTTGAGCTACGCTCACTTCGCTTAAGCTCACTAATCTAACTACCATGCTCAAGCTCACCGACCAACTCATGCTGACAATCAAACATGCACAGCGAAGGAGAGACAGACAGGATATAGCTTAGCTAGCTAGCAGCCTAGCTAGCACTGTGTGATTATATATATACCAAGAGAAATGATCAAAGTTGGGGTAGCAAGCTAATTAAGACAGCATAGTATCAACTGGATGGGTTTCTTGTGGTGAAACCTATCCGCTCGGGTTCAAGTTCTAAACTTGGAACGAGTGCTTATATCTACAGTACTTTTTTTCAATGGTAGATGATGTACCTGTCGACAGTAAGACACTTATGGTAACTTCGTTAATCTTAAAATATATCGGCTCAATCTTCTAAATGTGCTTATAGAAATAGAGTATATGTTTATAGGGCTGAATGTGCGTGCGTTGTGAGCGTCTTTTGTAGTATTGTTTTTAAACAAAGTTAGTGACCTTAAGGATTGAGACACATTGATAAACAAAGAAACTGATACCGGTGTGATGTGCCCAATTATTTGAGCTTTAATAATATTGTGCCACATTCACTTCTATTGTTATACCTATACATATACTTCACTACTTCTCACCTGGACACATGATATATGTCCAACCAAAAGTCCAAAACAGTACTTAGGGTCTACTATTGAACAGTGCATGTCATTCTTGTTGGATGCTTTTACTTCGATGGGTGCAGATGTCAATGATAGTTTAAACCATGGTGGTGGTCCTTATGTTTTTAAAATAAATGGCCAGGTTCATCACCGTATTGATGCATTGTTGCCCAATGAAAATACTCCTACCAAGTATACTCAGCTCTATATTTATGATACCCAAAATGAAATTCAGAATAGGATGTGTGCTATCCTTAGTGAAGGTGGCGATCCTTCTGCTTTAGATCCTGTTATAGCTGCTGAGCTAATGCAGATGCTAGATGAATGCATTCCTTTGGTAAAACAATTTAGGTTAGCAAGAGATCATTTGGCTGAGAAGGTGATGAGGAAATAGCAATTAGGATTGTTGGCTCTGATGAGGATGGTCCTGTCCAGTACGAGTTGCCGACAGCTGATGAGCTTGCCTGTTTGATTGTTGGTGATTTTTCGTTAGAAAACCTGAAGCGTGATATCATTATTCTGAATATACCTGGCCCATTGCACCATGTGTCTAGCCTACACCCTGCTTACATGGCTTTACAGCACCCACTGCTTTAATTTCCCCTACGGTGAACACAGTTTTCAGGTAGGTATAAATTTAAGGGGGGTTGATCTTACTCGAACCGCTATACGTACAAAAGCATCAATGCAGGAATTCCATTGTTATTATTGTCATTACCGTCGTGATCAGTTCAATACATATTTATATTGTGGTCGGTTGTCCTCTCAAGGCCAGGTTGACTGCTTTCCTTGTGTTGAGGAAGGTAGGCTAACGTACATAAGAGACCATCAGGGTGATTTTAGATGCGAAAACATTTAAGGGATTGCGGATGCCGTTGGCAGAGGATGCTTAGATGGTGGTGTTGGTAAACAACGAATATTGCCTACAAGCTTTACTGGTGAAAGAAGGTACATGTATTAGAACTATCAAGATGCAGTAGCTATATGCCGTGTGTATGGTGCGCCTGATGTATTCACAACATTTACCTGCAATCCAAAGTGGTCGGAGATTGAAGAGGCCCGACTAGGCGAGGGGTTGGAGGTAGGAGTAAGCGTGGAGCGTACTTGGCGAGGGGTTGGAGGTGGGAGGTCGGTCCAGCCGCAGTCGAGGAGGAAGCAGAAGCCATCGACGGCGAGTAGGTAGCAGAGGGGTCCCTCACCGTACGCCCCACTCAACGGAGTCACCTGCACCGACGTTCCCATCCGATCGATCCCCTTCGCCGGCGGCGGTGGCGAGCAAGAAGAGTTCCGCTCAGAGTGGAATGAGAGAGAAAGAGTCCAAGTGTAGTAGTTGGGCCGCTCAGGAGGCCTATGCAAAAACTTTACATGGGCCAAGCTGAGGCCCATATACTTCCCCTTTTGTGTTTGTTTCCTTTCCTTTCCTAGTAGAGGTCGAGGGAGGGTTGCTTTCTCCACTTGCGTTGCGTCCGCTGCCATTGTCACTCTTCTCCGTCTCCGTCTCCATCTCCGGTCAGATAGCCCCTTATCGCCGGCGATCTAGAAGCGAGAAATCCCAACAAATAGACAGCCAGAGAACCTGCTCGGCTCGGCTCGGCTCGGTCGCCTTCCCCTTTTCTGGGAGTTGGCTTGTTTGGTTGGATCTAAGCAAAGGCCTAACCCGCGGTGATCTTCCGCCTCCCATCCCATGGACGGCGCGAGCGGCAGCGGGGAGCCAACGGCCAACGGGGAGAAGAAGCCCGACGAGCAACACTTCGATCCCAGCCAAAGTAAGGGTCTCTCTCTCACGCACCTTTAATTTTTGTTACCTTTTGCGTTCGTGCACTAGGTTTGGTTACTCCTATTCAGTACTAGAGTACAACAAATCACGACTCATATTGATCGCTTTAGAGGGTTCAGAGTTTGTAAACTAGTATTGGCTAACTAACTATTCGCCACGAATCAAATTCGAAATCTCACAGTTGCAGGAAATAAACATCTCCTGCACAACTAGGAATGCACAAAGATCCTATCAAATGCCATGGCCATGGCCTCAATTTTCGTAGCCCCCTGGTCCATAATTCAGTTCACTAATAAAGTTTTCTGAGAGATGTGCATATATAGGATGGTAGTTCTTGAACCAACATCACAGTTTATTCGGGATGAAGTCCAGTATATTGCAAAAAAAAATTGACTCTGTATAAATGATTGGAGCAGGTATCCTATGCTACTAGATACTGAATACTACAATGTTATGCTTGTAGCTACCATGCTACTAGTATATTGTCATGAGTGAGTTATGAAATGTCAAAGCTTTACCTCTCCATGACTTTCACATAGTACACTGGCCTCTTTATAGTACTTAGAGATATTTTGAGTTTTATTGATGCATTGCTTGCAAAATCTACAAAACATTTTCCATATGTAAAATAGTTGCCAGCATTCTTGTGCTTGTGCATAATGCCATGATGTTTTGAAGTGATAGGAATAATCAAAAGGAAGGCCTTGATTAAAGAACTGGCTGCTGCTTACCATGCTGAGTGTGTGGCATGCTGTGAAGAGCTTCTGCAGCTCCAGAGAAAGTGGGAGGAGGTCTGTATCTGTCCTTCTCCAAAATGGAAGATAATCCTGTGATTTGTATTCCTCCCATTGTTGTGAAACGGAACATATATAAGTATGTAGGAACACGAATCCTGCTCCTCTTCTGTCGGTTGTGCAGGAGCAATATGTTGAATTTAAGATGGCTGATGAAGCGCCGAGGACGTTGATGGTGAAGTCTTCCAAGCGCAGGAAAAGATAGCTTTACAAGGCATGAATTTGACAGGAGCTCTAGATGTTGGATGGATCTCCTACAAGTTAAACAGAAAGAAGCTCTATGTAGTTTGATACTTTTTGGTAGATAGTCAGTCTATTCTGGGTGCTCGATTGTTTTTTAAACATTGTACTAGCTGCTTCAGCTTGCTAGGGGTATCAACTTGGCCGCTGTATCTTCGTCATCTATACTCGGTACAGTACTCCCACCATATTTTAATATATGACGCCGTTGACTTTTTGACTAATGTTTGACCATTCGTTTCATTCAAAAAAATTTTGTGCAAATATGAAAATATTCATGTCATGCTTAAAGAACATCTGATGACGAATCAAGCCATAATAAAATAAATAATAATTACATAAATTTTTTGAATAAGACGAATGGTCAAACGTTGGACAAAAAGTCAACGGCGTCATACAATATGGAGAATATGGAGGTTGTATTTGCTTGAGGAGTGGAGGAGCATGTTGTTTCTGTTATCAGCTACAGGAAGTAGTTGCCCTCAGATCTTTTACTAACACAGACAAACCCTCACATTCTTTCTGTAAAAGCAGCTGGGTACAATCCAACCTCTGCACCGCGTTCCAAATGACCATTTTCGATGCTTCTACCTCTGTTTTTGGAAAATTTGGAATCACGTGGTCTTCGAAAACTTGCCTCCATCCTGCCCAAGGCTGATTAAAGTCTGCTATGAAGACGCGATCCTATGGGAAATCGCTTAAAAGTTTCAGAAGAAAGCTCTACCCAAGGCTGGAAGGTTATCTTCAATACCCAAACTTCAATGTAACTCGTTTCTATGTAATCCCTCCACCCCTCTTTCTACCTGTTGTAATATTTATTTCCTTAAGTGTAATTGTTCTTTAAATACTTTTAATTATCTAATTATAATTCAGGTGGGGATGAAGTTTTTTTTTTTAAAAAAAAAGAAACTACTAGGAGGTCACTATTGTTAGTTTGTTACTACTAGTAATATGCCCGTGCTAACGCTATGGTATCATTGTATTTTTATAATATTCCAAGCAATCTTTATACATAATATTTTCGGTAAGGTTGGCTCCTTGATAAAGCATAGTAAAGCTGTCCATGCGAGGAATATATATATATATATATATATATACATATATATATATATACATATATATATATATATATACATATATATATATATATATAATCATTTGAAACCATGAATACCATCACTCCATGTCAGCTCATAACCGTGACAACGCCGATGTAATATATTTCCTAAAAACAACAGTAATGATCTTTAATAAACATTTTGAATGCCTTCGGAATTAAGAAATATGTATTCAGTCCGTCTTCCTGAAATAAATATTATGTACACAACTAAGGTCTAGAATTACATCACTTCCTCTGTTTCCATTATGACATTTTCTCAATACCTTACATGCAAAGGACTAAGATACAAATCATACAATCGAATGCTGTTCTGGTTGTCAAACGAAAAGGAAAAAAATCTACCAAATTATTTGTATGGTTTAAATAAAAATAATAATAGTCAATTATATATGACACAAAATTTGGAGCAAGATTCAGAAAAAGAAAACAACTTGTTAGATAAATGAACAAAGCTCATTTAATTTGTCAACATAAAGCTCTAATGGTCCATTGAACCAGTTACAACCAGAAGATTGATGTAATGTATTAGTAGTAAATTCATTTCGCATATCAAATTGCATAAATGATTGATCGGGAATAGAAAAATCTCCTAGTCTACAATAAAAAAAGACATCTTTGCAGAAGTTGTTTAGTAAGTACTTAAGCAATAACTACATGGCCAACAAATTGCACTTTTTCCTGCCACGTCAGAAGAATTTCACACTCATCAACTTCTATAGAAACAAATGCCTACGAGTGTCATAACCAATAGTAAAAAATATATATGTAGAGTGGCACTATATCTGAAAATTTATTTACTGATCGTGCAGTCGGTCGGTATGAAATGTGATACCCTCAAAGATATTTGATCTGCAACAAATTCCCTGACCTACAGATCCACATGAAATGAGAAAACACAAGGAATGAGGCACTTTCAGTATAAAAAATAAACAAAATTATTTTTATAGTGGATAGCTCACCTCATCAAAGCCTCTTAGCAAATTCTTCTGCCAAGGGAAAAAAAACTGAACATCACTTTTTAAGCCATTGAAAATGCCAGCAAACTCCAACCAATGTACCCTCATCCTACTATCGCAATCTTCTCAGGTCTGAAGGCAGGATTAATAATGCTGCATCTGAATCATTGACATGCTCTATTCCTAGAATATTTGACATGGATGACCGACCACCAACTGCTGTGAAGTAAGGTGCTCCCATGGTGAAGTACAAATTGCAGTGAAGTGCAAAAGAAAACATGCAATTTAGTTACAAATGTATTTGAGTATGCACAGTAAACCAAAACTGAACGCAAGCAAAATGTACTAACTTCTGCTGGAAAGTCATAGTCATTTTACAACATCCAACATTACTACTAAGCTATGAAATCTCAAAAAATTACTTATTGATGGCAGGGAGTTTCAAGGTTGGTGGATTCCGATGATACACTTAACATTCATTGGTCTTTCTGGTATTATCTAATACTCCCTCCGTTTCAGTTTACAAAACGTTTTGACTTTGGTCAAAGTCAAACTGTTTTAAGTTTGACTAAGTTTATAGACAAATATAGTAATATTTATGTTGGAGCTACACCATGAGGGCCTTCGGCTGAGTCTACCGAAACCAAGAGCTCAGGCGATAAACTCAGACCGGAGGTGAGCGACGAAGGTCGAAAAGGCAACCATATGGGCGAAAGCCACATGGCGAAATCCGTAACTCGGAATACGTGGACTTCCTAGGCAAAGACCTCGTCAAAAGGCCGCATGGGCGAGGATGATGGGGCGAAAGCCCTGGCACGAAGGCATGGGTTTCACCAAGTACCGAACTTCACTAGGAGGAGGCCCAGTGGGCCGTTGCACCTTTGAGGGACTTCGGCAAATAAATGGGCCAAGCCATTTGGCCCAATAGGGGCCCATACATGTAAAGGACACTATGTGCCCTCAATAATGTCTCTATCATAAGGGTAACCATATAAATTCCCCTGTAAAGCCTAAACCCTAAAAGGAGGGAACCTATAATAGGGCTATAAGTAGCCCCCTAAGGCCATGTAATGGGGGGATCCAAAAAATTTTTACAAAGCAATACAATTATTTTCTTTTCCAACTACTATTGAGAGAACCACGCCTTTCGACGTGACGCAGTTGTCCATTCGACAACAATTTATAATACTAAATTAGTGTCATCAAATCAATAACTGAATATATTTTCATAATAAATTTGTCTTGGGTTGAAAATGTTGCTTCTTTTTTCTATAAACTTTGTCAAACTTAAATCAGTTTGACTTTGACAAAAATCAAAATGTCTTATAACCTAAAATGGATGGAGTAGTAGATATTGTTACTAGTGACTAACTCTTTACCTTTAGCACTAGAAAATTCAATAAAATGCTAAAGATAGATCACGATATTAGTTTAGCCCAAATTTAAAATATAACGATTACATTAAGAAATATCATCACCTATTTATCATTCCATAGGCAGTTCAATTAGGGTCTCACAGAAACAAAGGAGAAAAAATAAGGATTTTTAGACAAATACGGTTCACTACAAATTACATTTTAAATTAAAAATTCGTTTAAAGGTCAGTAAGTATTTCCAGTGGGTGGCATTACAAACACATGATTCAGTAAGTATTTCCAAAACCATTCCCACTTAGCGTCAGTCACAATAGTTTTTAACACATCAGTGAAATCAAACTTCAAATGCTCAAAGAATAGATGGGGGTCTTTTCCTTCTTGGTCATAATATGGACGCAAGAGGTCAAATAACCTTTTAAGATCCTTTGATTTTGAATCAGCAGGAGCAGAACACTGGCCAACCATTTTCAGCACAACCTCATTGTCTGCTACCTCCCAGTCACTTAGCTCCCAGATTCCATCCCATGAGATCCCTACTTTGTGGTTTTTGATCAAGTGCTCTAGGCATAACTGAAACACAGCGCTTCCCAGTCTGCTAGGAAGCAAAAGCTTGGTGAAGATCTCGACCTTTTCCAAGATCGCCTCCTTCTTCTGATTCAGAAACTCTTGAAGTGTTGAAATACTGCAAATAATAACAACACAAGCAAATAAATCATGACAATATGAATAACTACATTCAATGTTTATTTAAAAGGCCTTCTTAAAAAACAATTACCTACTTGTTTGGCATTAAGGAAACCAAGTTCCACTTTCTATGTCAGTCTTATGTTTTCTGACTTTCTCTGTATGGGTTTCATCAGACTGGTCATCTTGGACACAGAATATTTAAGAAGAATTGAGAAACCACCTGCGTCAGCATTGGGTGCAGCCTAAAATAGAGAAATTTTTGTTGTTAGCAATCAAAGCAGGACAATGCACAGGGCTAGACCTTTTGAGTATAGCCTATCTAGCATACTGAGTTACTGACATTGTTTTTTCATTGCATATTTTGAATGCTAGGCTCAAATCCCCTTCTTTTAAATGGTCATAATTCACCTAGAACCTAATGCGAGATCATTTCCTCGAAATTATCGCTTTAGCTTCAGCAGCATCGATATATTTTAAGATTGACGAAGCTATCACAGGTGTCTTACTGTCGACAGGTACATCACCTACCATTGAAAAAAAACTGTAAATACGAGCACTCGTTCCAAGTTTAGAACTTGAACCCGAGCGGGCAGGTTTCACCACAAGAAACCCATCCAGTTGAGCTACGCTCAGTTCGCTTAAGCTCACTGATATTCAATTGCAAATGCCCCTATGTCATGTACGTAGGTACCAGGATTTAAATTTTGATGGGTGAAATCATATGCTGATAAAGCCATAACTACAGCACTATCTATGCCCTTTTTTTCATGTGTATGGATTTCACTCTTATCAACCTCAACTAACTACTACCGCTTTCCCAAGATGTAAGAATTTTTTTAGCGGACACGATTATTAAGAAAATAGGTAAAAATGATTAGTTGTAAGGAGATGGTAAGTAGATAAATAGCTTTATTTAATATAAGATATTATACTAGAATAACTTTATTTTGGAACGGAGGTGTAGTAGCTACTGCCTTGTTTAGGGGTGCAGACAATGAGCGGATTGCAGCTCTACTCCTGAGCCTAAAGTCCATTACAAATTACATTCAAAACCTTAAAATATAGAGGAATAAAGATAAAATTATGTAAATTACACTGGTATATAGTTCTAGGTCTGAAAAAAAAATCAAGCTACGTCCCTGGGTGCAGCAGATAGAAGTGTCCAATGGGAGTTTGCATGCTTTTAATCCAGTCACACTGCACGGCACGGCAGCACATTCGCTTTCACGTGGGCCGCCGTTTCCGCAACGAAAGGCCTAAGCGCGTGAGGGCCCATCAGATCGTGGTCTCGTTGCGTGGCGCTTTCCTCTCGACGAAACGAGCTGGCCTAAGGCCCAACCCGGTACACAGGCCCAAGGCACATCTTTTGGGCCGGGCGGGAAAAAATGCGCTTATGCAATTCCAGGCCTTTTGCCACCTTGCTCACTTTTAATTGCGTGTTTGGTAGAATATATGATCCCATCTATAACGAGAGAAAGAAAGGGAGAAGAGGATAAAAAAAGAGAAAAGAATTCGAAAATCCTAATGGGCGATCGTTCGCCCCGCGCGGTCAGCCTCCTCCTCAACGTGGTTTCTTTTTTTTTTCACCGCATTACTTTTCTATTTTAATAAATTTATGCAATTAAAGTTTGTACACATCAAGTTTACACATCTAAAGTTTATACACCTAAAGTTTATAAGTCAAAAGTTTATATACCTGATTCAAATTTGAATTTGAATTCAAATATTTTTTATATATAGGAGTATTTCTATACATCTAAAGTTTATACACCTAAAATTTATAGACCCAAAGTTTATAAGTCAAAAGTTTATATACCCGATTCAAATTTAAATTTGAATTTAAATATTTTTATATATAATATTTCTATACATAAAGTTTATACGTGCGAAGTTTATGGTATAAAGTCTATACATAAGTATAGAGTCTATGCACATAAATAAGAGTATTATATTTTTTTCTATTTTTTATTTTTTTTTCTAACTTTGTTTTTTTATTTTTAAAAATTTATGGTGTAGTAGAAAGAGAATAAGGGGAGGATGAAGGGGGGAGAGGAGTGTGTTAGGGGAGGGATGGGGCGATAACCCGCCCATTAGCGATGCCCAAAAGAAATATCATGAGATGTTTGACAATTCGAGTATAACTAAAATCTACTCCAGATTGCTTGTACACACATACTGAATTACTGATCATCGATCTCACACCTAACCATTTCTCAAAGGCATTTTCTGTCTATACTACTTGTTACATTTCCAACTAAAAAATTACTACTCCAAGTACTACCAAATGATTTTTTTTTTCAATGACGATGGTTGAGTAAATCTACTGCTGGAAAAAGTTCCATGTTTCTGAAGATCCATTGTCAGTTAGACAGTAGTAATCCTCGACCTGTTCGTCTTCAGACAAATCCTTCTTCAGAGACATCTCCCTCTTCACTGCAAGGTGGCCATCAAACCTAGTAGTCACCTGATCATTCTGCACATCTCTCATCATCTTCTTGTCTGAATAATGCCGCTGCCCTTCAGACAGGTGGTGATAATCTTGATCATCATCAGCAGCAGCCGACGCGTTCATCGACGCCGGCGATGGCTGCTGGTGATGAGAGCTAGAGAAGCAGGGAAGAACTTCCTCATAACCTCCATGATTGAAGGAGATCGAGCTGTCAACGAGGGGTGGCAATGGAGATCTTGATGTGCCGCCATTGATGTAACGAGGAGGAAGAGTAGACTCCATTGTTGGTGCTGCAACAGCTTCTGTCCTGCTCTTGTAGAAAACCCTACACAGCACCCAACCCTCCTGCATGTACTGAACTATTGATCAATCACAAAAAAAAAAATTCACATGCAGCGTGTGCAAGATGATGTCAGGTAGTAATAAATGAGAAGTTAATCAACCCGAGCAAGAGAAGATGCTGAAAGAATTAATGGCAAACAATCAGTACAGGTTCAGTTCTCTGAATTATTGCACATACAATGTACTGAATAATTAATCTGTGTTATTCTTGTATATGGAGAGAAAAAGATCTTGTATACGAAGGAAGAGTTGTGCATGCATCTAGCTAGTTAGTCGTAGAATGTATCTGAAAGTGACTTGCTAGTAATAGTAGATGTCTGATGCGTACGTCTAGCTGCCAGCTGGCATGAGAGTGACTGATAATGCAGTCAAGTGCAAACTGAAAACGAAATCTATGGGCAAGAACCTGGTGAAGCGATCAAATTATTTAATCATCATGAATCTTCATTATACCCTTTGAATTCTAAAACCACATGCTTTTGCGTCTACACAAACTTACTAATTATAACACACTTGCATGATCACTTGATTGTGATGCTGGCACCAACCAAGACGACCAATTATTATAACCAAATCTTGCATGTATACTACGTCCGTCTAAAAATATAAGAATTTATATATTTAAAATTTATTCAACGATATAAATATTTAGAAGCTCTGATGCCAATACATGAAAAGCAATATATTTTTCATCCTAACAGGTATTTGGGAGGGAAATCTAAGTAATTCAAAATTTAAAAAGGTAACCATTGTGGTTATCGGAAAAGGGAATATTTCCCCCAACATTAGTATTTGCTAAACAATTTAGAAACGCTTATACTTTACGAGGGTATAATGATTTGAGCACTAATTGATTATTACCTTGAGATGATGATGGTGATTGGCATGGTCTAATTCTTGACGGAACTCATGCATGACCCAATCAGTCCTCTCACCCTTGGGGGCTCTCCCTCTGTAGAAAACGAGCGTCTTACGCATGCCAACCAGGGACCCTTTCCGGGTTATCTCCCGGTCTTTTCCGGTGGCCTTCCAGTACCCTGATTCAGTCGCTCTGTTTGTTCGTTGCCCTCTTGCGTACTTCCTGTCCTTGAGGTTGTAGAAGTACCATTCCTTCCCTCCAATGCAAGCAATCTCTACATGAATGTATGTATGTACAGCCAATGCAAGTTTGTTACTCCACATGCATTTCGTTTGTAATAATAATTATTTGATAATTTAATGTATTATCATTTTTAGTTAGAGAGGCAAGAGAAGCTAAAAAAATGGACAGTAATTTAATTCAGAGTTTATTAGCACCTACTTCCCTGTTTCAAAAATATAAGTATTTCTAGGTTGTTTAGCAAATATTAAGGTTAAGAAATCACTTTGGTGGTCAATTTTAAAAAAAATATGGATTGCTTATTAGAATCCCCTTCGAAGCGTGTCTGATTGGCTGGAAATGTATGGATTTCCATACATTAGAATCAATGTCAGAAATATTTACATTGTGGTATAAATTTTCGAAAATCCTTGAAAAATACTTGTATTTTGGAATGGTGAGAGTAATTAGCTAGGATATATGAAGAAGTTTCTAGCTATATATAGGTCAATGTTTTTTTGGGTACCTCACACACTAGGGATGTTTTAACAAGCAAACCGGCGGCTTTGCTTTCTGCAACAGTCTCTATCTTCAGTTTCTCTCTAGGTTCAGGCAAAACGGGAGGATATGCTATGGGTAGAGAGGAAGCTGCCAAACAAACTCTCTCGGCAAAAGGAATAATATTCAGTCTGTTATATGATGTGATGAGGAAGACGGCGACGAGTCAACAAGCAGGCAGGCGAGACGTGTAAATTTTGTTCTCATTATAGATACATTTTTCGATAATTAGATTGCATATAGCCTCATGAACAGAAAAAAAAATATAAATATTAGGGAATGACCTAATATCAAATAATTAGGTCTCAGGTCATCTAGCCCACCACCCCGTGAAGCTAGCCGGAAGACCCCTAGACGTTTCTCCTTACGAACAGAAAAGGTTCAGGTAGTTTCTTAATTGTGGAAGAATTAAATTCAGGTGGATTAATTTATCAGTGGAAAGAAATGAGAAATTAATTAGTGAGCTAGCTAGCTTCTGAAATTTCATGGATCGATCGAGTTAATCCAATTCCAAAATGCATTATCGAAAATAAATTCCAAAATACCTTTTGTCGATCATGCTTTGTCTAGTCACGGTAAAGAAAAGAAACAACTTATACTACATAAAGTTTGAAATCGAATTTAGGTCAGCTCATGGAGCTAGAGATGAGTTGAATCGGTCACCTCAACAACCATGCTTCGAGATGCATGAGGAACTAATACTACTAAACTTGCATCACATGCATTATCTAAAAAGAAAACCTTAATGTTCATCTTACACATAGAAAAATTGAAAAATTTAAATTATGATGCTCACGAATATTATCGGCCCCATCGTTTGGCTTATTCGTGGAATAAGCCAAACATCATATTTGCAAACAAAAAATAATTTGTGAATAAAACTTTTATATACATGTTCTTAGCAACCTAAAAGTAAGAATTGAAAAATAAACTTCAATGAAAAAAAACCTAAAATCAGCTTCAAATTCAAGATTGAAAATTCAAATTTTACCTGATAAACATAAGTATAAGCGAAAATATTAGGCCATATGTGTATGGAGATATGCTTTCAGCAAGATTTTAATAAGATTGAGGATGTGACGCTGGTTTTTATCTCTTTAAACGTGTATTACGAGGTGCATTCGCGAGGTGCAAGTGTGGTGCTACGTGTGTAGTGGTCGTGTAGTGCAGCTGACGTGTAATCAGAAAAAAAAAATAACGTGCATCTTGCATGGACACACCACCATTATCATCACGTTGCATTTAGTAGAAAATGTAATACAGAAAAAGGCTACAAACGCCCAATACAAAATCAAGGAAATATGCATCCTATAGAATCAAACGTTAACGAGAATAAACAAAAACATGTAATTAACTCCAAAAAATGTCTTAACTCCTATAGAATCAGACGTTAACGAGAATCAACACAACTATCTATAAACTATATCAGAAAACAAACGGTTTTACCCTGCTAAATTAAACCACCAATAATTACACAGCTTTACAAGTGCTTGTGATGTGGTAGAAATCAAGACAATTTACTAGCTAGCAAAATCATGCAGGATGTATACCTGGGAGGTCCCATGGCTCGCACTTGTTGAGATCGACGTCGATCAGTGTCGGCGTCGGGCAGCCGGCGCCGGCGGCGCCGCCGCCGCTCGCCGCGCCACCGTCGCCGGAGCGGAGCTTGCCGGAGAGGTAGTCAACCACGAGTTCGTCGTCTCGAGGATGGAATCTGAACCCGGGAGGCAGCCTCGCCTCCACCATGCTCAAGCTCAACGACCAACTCATGCTGACAACCAAACATGCAGAGAGAAGAAGGAGAGAGACAGGATATAGCTTAGCTAGCTAGCTAGCACTGTGTGATTATATATATACCAAGAGAAATGATCAAAGTTGGGGTAGCAAGCTAATTAAGACAGCCTAGTATCAAAGATAGATTAATTAGTTGAAGCCCAAGTCAGAAACTTCTATTCGTGACTAATCATGGAATTGAAGAGATGGAGGTTGTGTAATACTATCTCCGTATTTTAATGTATGACGATGTTGGCTTTTTTCCAATATTTGACCATTCGCTTTATTCAAAATTTTATATAATTATTATTTATTTTATTGTAACTTAATTCATCATCAAATGTTCTTTAAGCATGACATAAATATTTTTCATATTTTCACAAAAATTTTAAATAAAACGAATGGTCAAACGTTGATAAAAAGTTAACGGCGTCATACATTAAAATACGGAGGGAATATATAAGAAAAGTCTATACTACAAAACTTTCTTACATAAACTTTTACAAACACTGATATGGCATGGTGTGTAAATAAATCTATATTTCCTGTAACTACCATTAATATTATATTTTGACTAAATCAAACGGTTGAGAGTTTTGTAGATGTAGCAGTGTTAGGGTCGGGAAACAAAATGTTGTCCAACTGTCCATGACGCAACACTGTCAGGCGGCTAACGTGGCATGCTTAATTTGGGGCCTTACCATCTTTAACCTGCAAGTTCTACGCTGATATTGACACTTGTATCGGCACTACCATGATACTACTATCCATGCACGGGAGCGAGAGAAAAGTCTATAATTTGTTGCACCTTTCTAACAAATCAGAATGGTTGATGAAGAATATTAACAGCCTGTGGAAGACACCAAACCATGATCACTGAATAATTAAGATGTTGGAAGCATATATACCTGAAACTGAATAATCTTTAACCTGCAAGCTGAACAGGCCAGAGCACCTCCGCCGCAAAGCACACGGCATGCTATATCTGACAAACAAACAAGCAGTTTCAGTGTTACTGATAATTCTTCCTAGAGTGAATTTGAGAACAATTTGCAGGAGGACCACTCGTCGCGATCACTGAACAATTCGAGTTCATCAGTCTCCACGTTGCCCGACGCAGTGCATTCTCTAAAAAGCTTCAGATACTCTAACGTCGCGATATCTACCGTTTTGGTATAAGTTGGTTGCACTCGTTCAAAGTTGATCAGCTTCTTCGAATTTCTTCTAATGATGATTAATTAGCATCCAATGGTTTGAGTTTTGCTGACTTCAGCAGATCATTCGTCAAAACAACGACATATACCTGAAACCGACATAGACGTGCTTCAAAAATACCTGCATTTCAGTCTATTCTTGCCCCGACATAGACGTCCTTCAAAAATACCCGCATTTCAGTCTATTCTTGCCGAGGTGAAGTATAAACAATAAAAAAAGGAAACTATCAACTCAGAGAATCCAAAGTCAGGATGCATATTTTCTACTATTCTAGAAGGAAACTGGAGAGAAATCTGATGGCCTTATAGACGTTTAGCTCAGTTTCAGTATTACTCCCTTCGTTTCACAATGTAAGTTATTCTAGCATTTCTCACATTTATATTAATATTAATGAATCTAGACATATATATCTATTTAGATTCATTAATATTAATATAAATATAGAAAATATTAGAATGACTTACATATTCTGAAACGGAGGAAGTATCAGGTAAGATCTGAACAGAAACAGCCTGAGAGCTGATACCATTAATTGGTAGCGAACCATATTTGGGCTTGCCCAAACGTGAAGCGTGGGCTTGGATTGTGCATCGGACGGCCCATGAATTTGGGCTCCTACTCCGACTGTAAGCCCAACACGGCCTGCAGAAATGATCATCTTCGTCCTAACTGAAGCTTACAGTTCATTATTATTAGCACTGTCTCTTTAATCTCTAGCTAGCCCAGACATGATTATGAGCTGGAAGAAATTTGACAAAGCAATCTATCCATCCATCAATCCGTTAATTCCTGCGTCAATTTTGGCATCCTGCAGGTTCAACCCCCGACACGGTACGTTTTGTTTAAGCAAAAGCACAGGCGACAAAGCCAAGCCAAAGATTAACAACAAAAATTGTTCCTTCCTAGCAGTAGCTGCATGTAAAAAATATACAGCTATATATAGATTATCTAGGAGACTATAACATCATTCACATGCCAACATGGCTAGCTACATCTCTATCGACCGACCGGCCATCTATCTCGCGATGTGTAGAGCTATAAACAAACAGCTCTTGGCTTATGACTGATCAACACGGATTAGCAGCTTGATTAGCGTAGATCGATCCGTCGTCGAGGGAGATCGATCGATACGGTTAATTAGGGAAGGAAACGTTTAGACAAAGCGTAGCAGCGTGTCAGTGTGACTCAGAGCAGCAGGTGGCTGGTAAAGTTGTTAAATATGTGTATGCATTTAGTCTTTTAACAAACTCTAAAAAATACATAAGAAATCCTGCTAAAATTTAAAAATATTACTAAATTGCTAAAATTTTGATAAAATTCATTTTAACTACAATCTGAACATGCTGTAGTAATGAATGGACACACACATGTTATTTTGTCTGGATGGATGGTGCGAGTAGGAGATGAGCCGTCACATGAGTTTTGTGGCTAGCTACACGGGACTGGATACCTAGTCTAGTGTGTCTCCACGCCCTAGTGCCATTTCTTTTTAGAAAATCTGCACCGATCCATTTGGAGAAACAGAGAAATGATCCAAACTGTGATCGATCAATGCATCCTCCTCTTATCAACAATACCTCCTCCGTCTCGTATTAAATTCAATTTTAGCTATTTCTATTTATCTTAAAATAAATTTACTTTTAAAATAATTATTTGTATCGAAATTTATAAAAGTATGAAATAACCGTATTGGGAGTAGATAAAGTGAGAGATAGTACGTGGATATTCTAATCTTTTTGTTTTTTATTGGTATACGTGGGATGGATGGAAAATGAATTTATTTTGTGATGGAGGTAGTACTAAACTTTGATATTGCTAAATTTTACTATAATAAGGTACTCCCTCTGTCCCATAATAAGCACAGTTCCCATAATAAGCACAGTTGTGGGTTCCAGTGCCCAACATTTGTCTATCCGTCTTATTTGAATTCTTTTTATAATTAATATTTTTATTGTTATTAGATGATAAAATATAAATAGTACTTTGTACATGACTTAATTTTTAAATTTTTTTATAATTTTTTCAAATAAAATGGACGGTCAAATATTGGACACGGAAATTTATGGCTGCACTTAAAATAGGAATGAATGAGTATAATTATTGTAGTATTAGTATTTTATTATTTGTCAAATGTAAGTCAAAGACCACAATTATTAGGAATGAATGAGTATAATTATTGTAGTATTAGTATTTTATTGTTTGTCAAATGTAAGTTAAAGGCCACAATTATTGTGCCTTACCATGTACTCCTACGTAGTTACTGTGACTTTTTTGTGATATTTAAAGTTTTGAAATTTCATTTTTCGGAGATGAAATTTACGTGGTTTTGTCGGTTACCATGGATGGTTGACAACCTCCCCATGGACGGTATTTGCAAAAGTACGCCTAGTTTGATGCCCACGATGGATGTGCAGCCATAGCTAAGGGAACCGAACAGAACCCCATAGTATTTGTTCCTCCCTCCGTCCAGCGTTATCTTTTTAAGAAAAATTAAATCCAGTAACATTTGACTAATAACTATACTAATTATATATATGATAAATATTATGTATGTTATATCACTGAATTCATATTTTAAAATAGTTTCACGTGATGCAAATTTTATACTTGGTTGGAACATAACATGAAATAAATTAATTATCAAAACATATCATTAAAAACCGTGTAAAAAATATAGTATGCCTCATAATTTAGGATGGAGAGAGTATTATTACTACTACTCCTTTCAGTTATCAAACTCAACATCACACATACTCCACCTGTTCCAAAAAATATAAATATCGTACTAATCAAGACATATATTATGGTACTATATTGGTTTTTTTACAGAGAGAGTATACTACTAATACTTAATTATCTCTACCCTATTCAGTAGTAGAGTAGAAGTATGCAAAATTTGTCATATGATCAAATTTTGGTGCGGCTAATTTTAACATAAAAATGAATTGTACTACTGCATTTGTTTGAACGACTCTGGAAACGCGCAGATGATCCAAACATCGCTTGCCATTTCACCGCAATTCGAACAGTGGCACTGGCATCAGTATCACCAGGATGCAATGCAATGCACTGAATCGCAGCGGCCGTGGTTGCAGCGAAACAGGCGTAAAATCGTCTCGTTTAGCGAGCCACACAGCTGATCACATGTGCGTGGATGTGCGCGCGCAGCAAAAATATTCGCCGCTAAACGAGAAAGCCTAACCTAGGGCGTAGGCTAGGCTGGGCTACTGCTGCTTCTGATAACGAATCGGTTAAACTTTAGCCCATGTCTCATAAACATACCCCCTCCGTAAAAAAAAAAAAAAGTTAAACCCTAGATTTCCGTGTCCAATTTTAATTGTGCGTCTTATATGAAATTTTTTTATAATTTATATTTTCATTGTTGTTAGATGATAAAACATGATTAATATTTTATACGTGACTTGTCTTTTTAATTTTTTCATAATTTTTTCAAATAAGACGGACGGTCAAACGTTGGGCACGGAAACCAGAGTTTGTCTTTTTTTGAAACAGAGGGAGTAAGTCTCTAGAGGAGTGACTTATGCTTCTGTAAGAGGGACACTTTAGTCCCTAGTTCGCAAACACCCCCTATGCCTAAACGGAGATGGATCCATCCCGTCCCATTGTGTCATGTCGTGTCGGCTACGTGCTTCATCCATTTTTTCCGTTGCATCGTTCCAATTGCATCAAGGCTTGGTGGTTGTGTTTAGTTCATTTCAAAGTTGTAAGTTTGGGTTAAAATTGGTACGATATGACTGAAAAGTTGTGTGTATGACAGGTTGATGTGATGGAAAAAGTTAGAAGTTTGGATCTAAACACAGCCTTAGTTACTAACTTTTTCCTCAAACTTC